TATATATCAGTATATATTATATATATCAGTATAATATATGTATCAGTATGATATATACATATTATATCTTGGTCTCAAAAGGCAAGAATCATCATAGTCATCTTTGCAGTCTAGGCACTCAGTAAGTAGCAGATAGTACTCATAAACACTAATAGAAAAATGAGTGAGTTTGGTTGAAACAACTCATGAAATACAACTACGGCAGAAAAATTTTAAAATGTACTAAGCACAGAGCACAGAGGGCTCCAAAAGTTTGGGTGAATCTGGGGGCTTTACTCTCATACAATTGGTACAACATAGAAGATTTTCAGGCAACTACAAGATTAGGGCACGTCAGCAAAACTAGTCAAATGATGGTATGTAGCATATGAACAGGCCTGGGAGATATAAGAGGGATGCACTGCAAGACCAAGAATGGGGATGAGCCAAACATAATGTATCATGCATCTATAGTGTAGTACAGGGCCAAATATCTGATACTGGTAACTTTTAGAACACAGGTCAATTTCTTCTTGTTCCATAATTAATTTCTGTTCACAAGGAAGAGAATCTGGGTCAACACTTAGGCAACATGTAAAGCTTTCAAAATGTTGGCTTTTGTCTTCTATGTGTATGTTAGTTTTTTCCCCAAATGGCCAAATGTTCTGCAAAAGAGAACACTGTCAACTTCCAAATACTCATGGGAACTTGTAAACGTAATACAACATTCATGTAATTTCCACTTGCTACACAACACACCCTGAGGATGTTTTTCTGGAACATAACAAGTGGTTCTGTTGCTAAGAAAAAGAGATTGCTTGATGAAAGACATGAAAAAACCTAAACACGGCCAAAATAATGCCTTTGAACTGTATCACTTTTTGTTTCAGAACTAGTGAAGGAAGAAAGTTACAAGTATATCATGTTAACTCTAGTTGTAAGACAGAGCCAGTCTTTCATTATGGAACTGCATTTTGTGGTAAAATGTTATTATGTTCCAGAAACCATTACTTCTTAACATCAATGTGGTTATAATTAATTACTTAGAGGGGAAAAATATAAATTGATCTTCCCAACTGGTTTTTTCTAAGCACTTAAATTCATTTTCACTACCAGCCCCTAGATTTATTTCAAAATAGAATTAAATTTAAAGTATGGTCCAGTGAATGTAATAAGCACAAAGTATAAAGGGTCATTCTAGAGCAAATATGCAGGAAGCCACTAAGGAACCAACTTATAAAAAAACTGAAGCACAATTTAAAAGATGATCATAATAAGAATACAAATATCAACAGCTAATCTTTATGGAACTCTTACCATGTCCCAGCTACTCCACTAAAGGCTTAAAGTATTTAGGATTAACCATAAGAAAATGGCAATTTCATAAGGTTCAACCTAAAACAGTTTCTCAATTAATTCTTACAACCACCCCAATTAAAGAATGTTGTTATCCCCATTTTACAGATGAGGAAACTAAAATTTAGAGGGCTTAACTTGATCAAAGTCAAAGAGCTAGGAAACAGTAGAAATAGGACTAAAGCCTAGGTCTGAGTCCAAAGCCCACATTCTCATTACATACTACACAATAACAGCAGTCTCCACATCTTGAAAATGAGGCTGAAGGTTTAGGCACAAAAGCACTTTTACACACTGCTCAAAGCCACTACACAGACAGTTAAGTGAGGTGCACCCTTACATAGGACCCCAGCAAGGGAAGAGAATGAAATGCGGCTGACATCCAGCCCAAGCTTCACTATCTATCCTATTACAGGACGGCATCCAACCAAAGAAGATTCTCTCACTTAACAAAAATTGTTATACTGGCTAACAGTGGCCTGGATTCTGCTAGTATAATTTTTAGAGAAAATTTTAATAGTACAGATTAAAAGCCTTAAAAGATATATTCTTTGATCCAGAAATTTCACTTTAAGGAACTTATTCTAAGGAAATAATTAAGGATCAACTAAAATTTGCATTAAAAAGATATTTATCAGTATTTATAAAACAGGAAAAACTAAAAAGTCTATTATGTCCAACAATAGGGTATTAGCTATTATAAAAGATGTACATATGATTAAAATAATGTTGGAGAAATAAATTCATTAACCAATAAGCTTTTCACAAGATTATAGGAATGACAAAATTTATAAAAATCATAGTCATTTTAGCAAAACTAAGATGCATGTATATATTCTACATACAATATATCCATGGATGAGGAGGGAAACAGAGAAAAAACACTAAGTAATGGACTTATACGTTTTTAATATTCTTCTTTGTTCTACTTTCATATATTTTTCCATAAGATATATATATATATATATATATATGCTGGGTATATTGGTTCACATGGGTAATACCAGCAGTTTGGGAGCCCGAGGCAGGTAGTTCACTTGAACCCAGGAGTTTGAGACCAGCCTGGGCAACATGGTGAGACCTAGTCTCTGCAAACAAAAATACAAAAATCAGCCAGGTGTGGTGGGGTGTGCCTGTATTACCAGCTACTCGAGAGGCTAAGGTGGGAGGACTGCTTGAGCCCAGGAGGCAGAGGTTGCAGTGAACTGAGGTTACACCACTGCACTCCAGCCTGGGCAGCAGAACAAGACACTATCTTGAAAAACAAAAAGTATATATATGTATGTATGTATGTATGTATGTATGTGTGTGTGTTGTATAAAATAACTCAAAAAGAGGTAAAGCAAACAAACAACAAAAACTACAAGAGGCAAATAACACCAAGCTAAAAACAGTTACATAAAAAGTGTAGCCATGCAAAAATTTTATTTTGTCTCCTAACTTGGAATACTGGGTTGATGCAAAAGAAACTGCAGTTTTTGCCATTATGGAATCTGTGATTTATTATGATTGAAACTGAAGCAAAAATTACCTAATTTCATGTGAAACTGAGAAATCTAGTTCATTTTACCATATGGCCTGGATTGAGAACCACTGCCCCAAAATACAGATACAAAACAAAGCACAGGCCAGGCGTGGTGCCTCACACCTATTATCCCAGCACTTAGGGAGGCCAAGAAAGGGCAGATGACCTGGGGTCAGGAGTTTGAGACCAGCCTGGCCAACACAACAAAACCCCATCTCTACTAAAAATACAAAAATTAGCTGGGCATACTGGCATGTGCCTGTAGTCCCAGCTACTAGGGAGGCTGAGGTATGAGAATCAATTGAATCCAGGAGGAGGGGGTTATAGTGAGCCACTATCACACCACTGTATTACATCCTGGGTGACACAGTGGGACTGTCTCAAACAAAAAACAAAACAAAGCACCCACAAAGTATACTTTAAATTATCTTTAGATAACAAAAACTTAGACAAATGTTTTAAAAATAACAAGCATTTTTTTAGTATTACCTATCAAATAAATAGAATTCTCAATAGAGTGAGAAAGCAAAAAGTGGCTCCTGACAGCCAGGAGTTGGCCTGGCACCATCAGCTAGGCGTCAGGGTACAACAATTAAACATACACACTTTCACAGAACACCAATATCAGACAAAGCCATCCTGTGCCCATGATGCGTCAAGAGAAAAATTAGACCACTCTGTCTAATCATGTCTAAACACAGACAAAAACGTGAATACTGTCCTGACCACAAAAATAACCAATAATCAGGCTGGGTGTGGTGGTTCAGGTCCCAGCACTTTGGAAGACTAAGGTGGGCAGACCACTTGAGGTCAGGTGTTTGAGACTAGCCTGGCCAAAATGGTGAAACCCCATCTCTACTAAAAATACAAAAATTAGCTGGACATAGTGGCAGGAGCCTGTAATCCCAGCTACTCTGGAGGCTGAGGTAGGAGAATCGCTTGAACCCAGAAGGCAGAGGTTGCAGTAAGCTGAGATCATGCCACTGTATTCTAACCTGGGAAACAGAGGGAGATTCCATCTTTAAAAAATAAAAATGAATAATAATAACCAATAACCAAACATAATCTTGACTAATATGAATGACTGCTGTTTCTTTTTTTTCCCCCCCCCTTTTCTTTCCTTTTTTTTTTTTCTTGAGAAATGCTATCATTCTGTTGCCCGGCTGGAGTACAGCATGATCACAGCTCATGGGAGCCTCAACCTCCCAGGCCCAAGTGATTCTCCCACCTCAGCCTCCCAAGTAGCTAGGACTACAGGGTGCAACCACCAAGCCCAGCTAATATTTGTATTTTTTTTTTTGTAGAGGCAGAGTTTTGCCATGTTACTCGGGCTGGTTACAAACTCCTGAGCTCAAGTGAGCCACCCACTCCGGCCTCCCAAAGTGCTGGGATTATAGGCATGAGCCACCACATCCAGCCAACTACTGTTTCTGTATCAATCACAGCTTTAGCCTTGCTCCATTTTCTTGTCTTCTGGTTCTTAAAATGACTCCTACTTTCTAACAGCATCTAACGCACTGAAAAGCCCCACTTCCTTATACTCTAACCAAAATTACTTAACACAAGTCCAAATCCTGTATGGTTCCCTATGATACATATTCTTCCACGGTATAATGAATCACCTCATCTTGTTTTACTGCACATATATTCCAGGTGGTCTCCCCTGGAGAGTGATAACAAGAGTTGGGACAATACACAAGTACAGGATGGATTAGGAGTAAAATGATATAATTACATAAAAATACCAACAATCAAAAGAACAGATAACATTCTACATAAAAGGACCTTTTGACACATAAACTTATCCTATCACGGATTCCCACAAATTCAAAATTCCCAATGCTTATCAGCACTGCAACTGTTGACTAATAAATAAATTTTCAATTAAATTCCCAAATCACAATGTAAATATAAAAAGAAGATAAATGAAGAAACATACCCCTGAAAATAATACCTACAACTACACAACTCTCTAATTTAAACACATTATTTTTACATAGATTATTAGTTTCTTATTAAGAAGTTTTGATCATAGGTCATGAAAACTAATCTATCTAGAACACAGGCATGCTTTAGTATTTAAATAGTAAACTGTTTTCTGATTGATCATCAAGGAGAACCTTGCCCTTTACCTCCTTACCTCCTGGGTCTTTATCTGGATTATACTCTAAAGCATTGCTACAGATAAGGTCAATATCTTTCAGGAAATCCTTAGCAGTCAGGTAATTATGTTTATCAATTTTAGTTATTACTGTTGATAAGTCCATTGGTTCCTTGATTACTTCAAGATAATCTGAAACCTAGAACAAATAAGATATTTCAATAAAAATTACTTCTGGATTTTCATACCATCTCAGTTCATAAAAATACAAAATAAAACAAAGTTTTTAAAAATTAAATCTAAATATCAAATAATTTACAACGATAAAACTACAGTGCTATTTATGCTACTAAAGTTACTATCTGCCATACTTTCCATGAAAGCTTCAGTTTCCAAGTCATAACCTAAATCAGTTCTGAAATGTTTCTGTTCTTGAAATCTGAAACCGTGTCAGCTTTTTTTTTTATTCCTTTGGGCATATCTGAGAAGAGAATGTAGGGACAAAAGTACCCAATAAGCATCAATAAATGTGACTTCAAGAAAAAAAAAGGAAAATAAAAAGCAAAGACTTTTCATACTGTGAGATAAGTTATTCTGATAAATCTCCTTAAATTTTCAACAAAAATTTTCATTTTCAGTTCTCTAGAGTGAACTATTTCATGGAAAGTATTTTCCACTCCTTTGGAGTCATCACAAACATTCAGTCAATTATATAAGAAAATTAAGTATAGTTTTCCTAACCAGTATGAGATTTGCTGGACTTGTCCCTAAGTATAAGGAAATCTACAAACAAAAAACAAACATGCTGGTTTCGGTGCTGACTTTCTGTGAGATAACCCTAAACGGGATATTAAGTCATGATTTGTGTATCCCTGACCAATAAGAAAGTGCAAGCAATTTATGTATCTATGGCCTTCCCCAATGCAAATCTCAAACCAAGTAAATAAGTTTGCTGTAAAAGCAGTCTTAGCAGTAATGTCTAAAATTAGTCCAGGAACAATTTCTGGGGAGACAGTCTCATTCTGCTCTATAATTACAGGATTAGTTTTCTCATAGTTTCAGATGGCATTGATACTATTATTTTAAAACTTACATGCACATGTGTGCATGTGCATATACATAATTTATATGTTTTTTAATGTTTAAGATTATTTATAAAAATATTAAGTGTATATGTGTTTCAGTTTACTTTTCACCCTTTGGGAGCTGAAAAACCAATCTCCCTAGAGGGGAGACAGTAGAGTTATACTGAAACAAACTACCTCAGAGGATATTAGCTGGATTCCTTGTTCTGGTATTTGACATAAATGCCTATGTACAAGTGAAAACTGTTTTATAAACTGAAAAGCACTATATTTATCTGACCAACATTTTCTATCCCCTTGCACTACCTTACCATCATTTATAACTTTTATTCTATTAGAGATGGCATTTGAAAATCTGACAAGTCTTTTTTGATTAGAAAGAAAAAGAGTTCTCCTGAGCAAAAGCAAAATTGGTTTACCCCCAACATGGGAGGCTGAGTTGGGGCCAAGCCCTTATCCTTTAAGAAGTATCAGAGTCCAAATATACTCAATGGGGGAGTGGAAGGAAGGGCACGAATACATATCACATTTACTTAAAATGATTTTTTTAATTGAGAGTTTTAAGATTATCTAAAAATACTATGGGGGGGGTGATGTCCCACAAGTATACAGTGATATTTATTAATTAAAAAAGCAAATTAGGCATGTCCTGATATCCCAGTGGAAAGATACAAAGTAGCTATGATCATGAATGTGGGCTTTAAATTTTAAAAAACTTTCAAGTCTTGGCTATGTCACTTGCCAATAAGTCTGTTTCCTGAGCTGCAAAGTGAGATTAATAATGATCCTACAAGGTTAAGAGGATCAAGTGGAAAAACCAGTGTATTATGGATAAATGTACAAATAAAATTACAGATCATCTCTTTGTTCCAAAAATGGGAAAAAATACTTATTTTCAGACTTGCCGAGGGGAAGAATGTAAATGCTAGCTCATTCCTCCCAGTTACAGATGAGGTAATGGTTTCAAAGGAATCTGCTCAGGTCTAAAAGCACAGATATCACAATTAGGATACAACATTAAACTCTGAATCATTCATAATTCGATGTTTAAAAAAAAAGAAATGAAAAGAATAAAAAACTAAAAACACCAAAGCTGTTCAAACATGGAGTCTGAACTATAAGAAGGAGGCTAGTAAAGATTACATTGTGTTCATCCACACACTACATTATCCCAGGATAAAACAAAATCCAAAAATGTAGTTGACAGTATTAGATTCCCAAATGGAAAATTTCTTTTCTCATCATCACAAACCATGCTCCCACAAGCACACAAAACAATACACATGTAAGTGAGAAATTTTCCACTGGGAGCAGAGAAAATCCTTAGAAAAATAATTTAGTTGCACAGGATATGTTTAACTTCAAACAGCATCCCAGCCATAGGCATTTCCAAAATATGAAAGACAAAGAAATTTCAGGTTTTTTAGCTACCTCTTTTGATGAGGTATACATAATTTGAAAAATGCCAATATTAACTGATATTGACTGGTTAATACCAATATACTCTTTGAGAGCAGAATTTATCCTGGAATAAAAATAGTCTAGTACGGACATTTGACTAAAGCAACTTTTAATCCTCTTCTTAAATCGAAGAGTAAGAGACCAAAGAGATTAATAATAATTATTAAGAGGACATATATAAATTGGTCACTAATTTCATCCAAGTCACCAGATGTTTGCTGATGACATCAGTAGTTATCACATGGATTAAAATTTTATAGGCTAGGGGTAATATTCATCCATGCCTTTGCTTTTTTTCCTTCCAAAAAAAGATGTCAATATTTTTTTCTTTTAGCCAGTTCAACTTCACTGTTTGCACACTACTGAAACAAGACCTCTTCAATATCCACCGGTTTGCTGAAGATGTTAAAGCGTTTATCTGTAGCCAGCCTCTTGGTTACATCCCTGAGAAACAACCGCAACTCTCTTAAGGTATTTTCCTCCTGGTCCTCCATTCGATTTTTTTCTGATTCTGATAACTGACGAGGTGGAGAAGGTAGTGCAAGAGGAAGCACTTCCATAGCACAAAGAGCTAGAGAAAACAGAAAAAGATGTTAAGACTCCAACATGATGGGCCAGGACCTCAATTACATTTTTGGCATTCTCTCAAATTCTTTAAAGACAACAATTACAAATACAGTCATATGTTGCTTAACAACAGGGATACATTCTAAGAAATGTGCAGTTAGGCAATTCTGTCATTGTGTAAACATTGTAAGAGTATACCTGCACAAACCTAGATGGTATAGCCTATGATGTATTTAGGCTATATGGTAAAGTCTATTGCTCCTAGGCTACAAACCTGGATAGCATGTGACTGTACTCAATACTGCAGGCAATTGTAGCACAGTGGTATTTGTGTATGTAAACATAGAAAAGGTATAGTAAAAATATGGTATTATAATTTTACGAGGCTGCCATTGTATATGCAGTCCATCGTTGACCAAAACGTCATTACACAGCACATGACTATATGTGTAAAACATGCAAATCCAGCAAGTAAAAGTTTGCATAGAAACAAAAAGGGAATAGCTTCATTTTATAAAATAACTCAAAAGACCCCTTTAAAAAACAAAATAATTTGATTTGGAAAATTTATAACTTATGAGAAATACTTCAAATCAACACAAGTATCTCCAACAAAAGTACTATATCCTGATTTTCTTAAGTCAATCTTGTTTAAAAATGCTTCTCAAAATGGTATTGCTTTATATGCATAAAAAGTATAATGGGCAAGTAATAATTATTTGATTCTTCCTGTCCCCAATAGAATTATGATTTTAGCCAGGTCTCCTGCTGTCATATTCTGAGTACAACAGAGTAGGATGGTGAATGGCACCTGCTGGAAGGGAGCAAAAAAAAAAATAGGAACTAAAAAAATTCCACAGTTATGAAGGAGATGGAAAACCAGTCCTAAGTGTTACATGTAAAATCTATAGTACTCACTATCTATCCTAAGACAAAACAAAAATCTTCTTAAAAGGTAAAGTATTAACTTTCCTAAATTATAACGTTCTCTACTTTTAAAAGATTTCCCTGATATCACACTAAAGCTCAGAAGTAAAATTCTATAAATATTTTTCACTGATTTCTAAATAGCCCCTAAGATGAAAAGTGAAAGTCAATAGAAACAACTGAAAAAGAATTATATCAATCATAAACATAGAAAATTCAGATCTATGGCCGGGCGCGGTGGCTCAAGCCTGTAATCCCAGCACTTTGGGAGGCCGAGGCGGGTGGATCACGAGGTCGAGAGATCGAGACCATCCTGGTCAACATGGTGAAACCCCGTCTCTACTAAAAATACAAAAAAATTAGCTGGGCATGGTGGCACGTGCCTGTAATCCCAGCTACTCAGGAGGCTGAGGCAGGAGAATTGCCTGAACCCAGGAGGCGGAGGTTGCAGTGAGCCAAGATCACGCCATTGCACTCCAGCCTGGGTAACAAGAGCAAAAAAAAAACTCCGTCTCAAAAAAAAAAAAAAAAAAAAAAAAAGAAAATTCAGATCTATGAGATTAAAATATATCTAGAAGCATGAAAGATTGAAATAAATCATTTTCATAACAAAATATTTGAAATATTTAGATTAACAGGAAGCAACAAAATAAACATAAATAAGGTACAATTTACATATTAAATTTCCCAAGGTTTTGGGAGGGGAAAAAACCATAACTATAGCAATTTGATAGGTGTTCTTTTTTTTTTTTTTTTTTAATATGGAGTCTTGTTCTATTGCCCAGGCTGGAGTGCAGTGGAACAGTCTCGGCTCACTGCAAACTCGGCCTCCCAAGCTCAAGCAATTCTCTTGCCTCAGCCTCCCAAGTAGCTGGGATTACAGGCACCCGTCACCATGCCGGGCTAATTTTTGTACTTTTATTAGAGACAGGGTTTCAACATGTTGGCCAGACTGGTCTCACACTCCTGACCTCAGGTGATCCACCCACCTCAGCCTCTACAAAGTGCTAGGATTACAGTGGTGAACCACCGCGATAGCCAATAGCTGTTCATTTTTAAAACACCAAGAAAATTTGGAAAGGAGCCACTAAAGAACAATAAAATTATTAAAATGTTAGCTAATATGACCAATAAAAAAAAAGTAAAAAGAATATGGAAAAAATAAGGACTTGGCAAAGATGGGGAATGTACTGAGTATCCTACAAGAAGCACTCTAAGAAACATAAAAGACGGAACAAGGGTAAAGAGGCTTAAAAATTATTACCAAACAGGATTGCTACTTCCTAGAAGAGGCTGAAAGATTAAGCAAGTAGATCTTATCCTTTATACATCTTTAAGATTAGGAAAAGAAAAATCTCTTTTGAATGACTTAGAATGCAGCCCTTACTTATGTCAAGGAACTGAAATCTGACAAATTTTTGAGGTACCTCTTAAAGCTCAATTCTTGAGTCTAAACTTCTTGAGTCCAAACCCAAGAAATATCTAACACTTAAAACAAAGCCAGGATAGATTTTCAAATGACTAGCATAAAATGTTAAATGTAATGGGTCTAAATTAATAAATAAACTAGAAATGGCAAATATTCTAACCAGCTCTTAGCCCATCAAATCTACCACAGCCCAAAAAGTAATGAGCACAACACCTGATGTTCACAACCTGCCAGTTCAAGTCCTGGGTACTTACTGTGACTAAAACAGAGAACTGAAGACTTTTTTCTATGACTTTTTGAGCCCCATAATGTGAAATCTACTAGAGAATGTGGTTGACATCATAAGAAGTCCTGCTTAGTGAAACTCTACCAAGGCTATACTTCCCAATCTCAAGTCAGGTGAACACAACGGACACTTCCACATGTCCATCTGAAGATATACAGAACCTGACAAACTGTCCTCACTTCCATAAAGGAAGGGCTAAAAAAATCTGACTCCAAGAAAGGGCATTTCTTAACTCCATCCCCCTCATTTTCCTAAAGGCTTTACAAACTTTACCAGCATGTTTCCTTCGTGGTGGAGCCATTGATGCCTGATTGAGAATCAATTCTTGAAAAAATTTTCTTCTGTCTTCTTCAATAGGCCTTTGAATATACAAGACCTCTTCATACTGTATTCTAAAGATACATTTAACCTACACATATATACACACACACAAAGACATTAAATATATAGAGAATTAAAAGCTTACATATCATACCAAATTGCAATGTCTTTATCTTCCATTATCATGTTCAATATTCACAGAACATTCACGGTACAGTTAACCTAGTCCTAGGCTATGCTGTTGAAGGGTTCAACCACACGGGCTAAACAGAAGTGGAAGAATGTCCAGTTGCCCAAGTCATTAATGAATGATACTATATATCTATTAAGAGTCATTAGATAATAGCAAAAAGGATAGCTGGTTGTAACAGATGGCAACAATTTCAAAGAGCTTTTACATAAGAGCTAAGAAGTAATTACTTACAACCTACAATAGAGAGCTGGAAGAATGTTAACACTGCCATAGCTTTCTTTTTTTTTTTTTTTTCTTTGCCCAGGCTGGAGTTCAATGGTGTGATCTTGGCTCACCACAACCTCCATCTCCTGAGTAACTGGGTTCAAGTTATTATTCTGCCTCAGCTTCCCGAGTAGCTGGGGTTACAGGCATGTGCCACACACCTGGCTATTTTCTATTTTTTATTTGTGTGTGTGTGTGTGTTTTTATTATTTTATTTTATGTTTTGCCTGTTTGAGCCAAACTTACATACTTTGGATTTTTTTTTTCTTTTTTTTTTTTTATTGCATTTTACGTTTTGGGGTACATGTGATGAACATGCAAGATTGTTGCATAGGTACACACATGGCAGTGTGCTTTGCTGCCTTCCGTCCCCTCACCTGTATCTGTCATTTCTCCCCATGCTATCTCTTCCCACCTCCCCACCCCCCCGCCCCTCCCCCATTTCCCCCCAACGGACCCCAGTGTGTAGTGCTCCCCTCCCTGTGTCCATGTGTTCTCATTGTTCAACACCCGCCTATGAGTGAGAATATACGGTGTTTGATTTTCTGCTCTTGTGTCAGTTTGCTGAGAATGATGGTTTCCAGGTTCATCCATGTCCCTACAAAGGACGTGAACTCATCGTTTTTGATGGCTGTGTAATATTCCATGGTGTATATGTGCCACATTTTCCCTGCCCAGTCTATCATCGTTGGGCATTTGGGTTGGTTCCAGGTCTTTGCTATTGTAAACAGTGCTGCAATGAACATTCGTGTGCACGTGTCCTTGTAGTAGAATGGTTTATAATCCTTTGGATATATACCCAGTAATGGGATTGCTGGGTCAAATGGGATTTCTATTTTTAGGTCCTTGAGGAATCGCCACACTGTCTTCCACAATGGTTGAATTAATTTACATTCCCACCAACAGTGTAAAAGTGTTCCTATTTCTCCACATCCTCTCCAGCATCTGTTGTTTCCCAATTTTTTAATGATCGCCATTCTAACTGGTGTGAGATGGTATCTCAATGTGATTTTGATTTGCATTTCTCTGATGACCAGTGATGATGAGCAATTTTTCATATGTTTGTTGGCCTCCTGTATGTCTTCTTTTGTAAAGTATCTGTTCATATCCTTCGCCCATTTTTGAATGGGCTTGTTTGTTTTTTTCTTGTAGATCTGCTTTAGTTCTTCGTAAATTCTGGATATCAGCCCCTTGTCAGATGGGTAGGCTGCAGAAATTTTTTCCCATTCTGTTGGTTGCCGATTCACTCTACTGACTGTTTCTTTTGCCGTGCAGAAGCTGTGGAGTTTGATTAGGTCCCATTTGTCTATTTTGGCTTTTGTTGCCATTGCTTTTGGCGTTTTGGTCATGAAGTCCTTGCCTACACCTATGTCCTGAATGGTTTTGCCTAGATTTTCTTCTAAGGTTTTTATGGTAATAGGTCTGATGTTTAAGTCTTTAATCCATCTGGAGTTAATTTTGGTGTAAGGTGTCAGGAAGGGGTCCTGTTTCTGCTTTCTGCACATGGCTAGCCAGTTTTCCCAACACCATTTATTAAACAGGGAGTCCTTTCCCCATTGCTTGTTTTTGTCAGGTTTGTCGAAGATCAGATGGTTGTGGGTATGTTGTATTTCCTCTGAGACCTCTGTTCTGTTCCATTGGTCTATATCTCTGTTTTGGTACCAGTACCATGCTGTTTTGATTACTGTAGCCTTGTAGTATAGTTTGAAGTCCGGTAGTGTGATGCCTCCTGCTTTGTTCTTTTTGCTTAGAATTGACTTGGCTATGCGGGCTCTCTTTTGGTTCCATATGAAGTTTAAGGTGTTTTTTTCCAGTTCTGTGAAGAAGGTCATTGGTAGCTTGATGGGAATAGCGTTGAATCTGTAAATTACTTTAGGCAGTATGGCCATTTTCACGATGTTGATTCTTCCTAACCATGAACATGGAATGTTTCTCCATCTGTTTGTATCCTCTCTTATTTCGTTGAGCAATGGCTTGTAGTTCTCCTTGAAGAGGTCCTTTACGTTCCTTGTTAGTTGTACTCCTAGGTACTTTATTCTCTTTGTAGCAATTGTGAATGGCAGTTCGTTCTTGATTTGGCTCTCTTGAAGTCTATTACTGGTGTATAGGAATGCTTGTGATTTTTGCACGTTGATTTTGTATCCTGAGACTTTGCTGAAGTTGTTTATCAGTTTCAGGAGATTTTGGGCTGAGATGATGGGATCTTCCAGATATACAATCATGTCATCTGCAAATAGAGACAATTTGATTTCCTCCTTTCCAATTTGGATACCCTTTATTTCTTTTTCTTGCCTGATTGCTCTGGCTAGAACTTCCAGTACTATATTGAATAGGAGTGGTGAGAGAGGGCACCCTTGTCTAGTGCCAGATTTCAAAGGGAATGCTTCCAGTTTTTGCCCATTCAGTATGATATTGGCTGTTGGTTTGTCGTAAATAGCTTTTATTGTTTTGAGATACGTTCCGTCAATACCTAGTTTATTGAGGGTTTTTAGCATAAAGGGTTGTTGAATTTTGTCAAAAGCCTTCTCTGCGTCAATCGAGATAATCATGTGGTTTTTGTCTTTGGTTCTGTTTATGTGGTGAATTACGTTTATGGACTTGCGTATGTTGAACCAGCCTTGCATCCCCGGGATGAATCCTACTTGATCATGGTGGATGAGCTTTTTGATATGCTGTTGCAATCGGTTTGCCAGTATTTTATTGAAGATTTTTGCATCTATGTTCGTCATGGATATTGGCCTGAAATTTTCTTTTCTTGTTGAGTCTCTGCCGGGTTTTGGTATCAGGATGATGTTTGTCTCGTAAAATGATTTGGGAAGGATTCCCTCTTTTTGGATTGTCTGGAATAGTTTCAGAAGGAATGGTATCAGCTCCTCCTTGTATGTCTGGTAGAATTCAGCTGTGAACCCATCTGGACCTGGGCTTTTTTTGGGTGGTAGGCTCTTTTTATTGCTGCCTCGACTTCAGACCATGTTATTGGTCTATTCAGGGTTTCGGCTTCTTCCAGGTTTAGGCTTGGGAGGTTGCAGGTGTCCAGGAATTTATCCATTTCTTCCAGGTTTACTAGTTTATGTGCATAGAGTTGTTTGTAATAATCTCTGATGATGGTTTGGATTTCTGTGGAATCTGTGGTGATATCCACTTTATCGTTTTTTATTGCATCAATTTGGTTATTCTCTCTTTTCTTTTTTATTAATCTGGCTAGTGGTCTGTCTATTTTGTTGATCTTTTCAAAAAACCAGCTCCTGGATTTATTGATTTTTTGAAGAGTTTTTTGTGTCTCTATTTCCTTCAGTTCTGCTCTGATCTTATTTCCTGTCTTCTGCTAGGTTTTGAGTTTTTTTGATCTTGCTCCTCTAGCTCTTTCAATTTTGATGATAGGGTGTCAATTTTCGATCTCTCCTTTCTTCTCATGTGGGCACTCATTACTATATATTTTCCTCTAGAGACTGCTTTAAATGTGTCCCAGAGATTCTGGTATGTTGTGTCTTCGTTCTCATTGGTTTCGAAGAACATCTTTATTTCTGCCTTCATTTCATTGTTTATCCAGTCAACATTCAAGAGCAAGTTGTTCAGTTTCCATGAAGCTGTGCGGTTCTGAGTTAGTTTCTGCATTCTGAGTTCTAACTCGATTGCACTGTGGTCTGAGAGACTGTTTGTTATGATTTCTGTTCTTTTGCATTTGCTGAGGAGCGATTTATTGCCAATTATGTGGTCAATTTTAGAGTAGGTGTGATGTGGTGCTGAGAAGAATGTATATTCTGTGGATTTGGGGTGGAGAGTTCTGTAAATGTCTATTAGGTTTGCTTGTTCCAGGTCCGTATTCAGGTCCTGGATATCCTTGTTGATTTTCTGTCTGGTTGATCTGTCTAATATTGACAATGGGGTGTTAAAGTCTCCCACTATTATTGTGTGGGAGTCCAAGTCTCTTTGTAAGTCATTAAGAACTTGCCTTATGTATCTGGGTGCTCCTGTATTGGGTGCGTATATATTTAGGATCGTTAGCTCTTCTTGTTGCAGTGATCCTTTTACCATTATGTAATGTCCTTCTTTGTCTCTTTTGATCTTTGTTGCTTTAAAGTCTATTTTATCAGAGATGAGAATTGCAACTCCTGCCTTTTTTTGCTCTCCATTTGCTTGGTAGATCTTCCTCCATCCCTTTATTTTGAGCCTTTGTGTATCCTTGCATGTAAGATGGGTTTCCTGGATACAGCACACTGATGGGTTTTGGCTTTTTATCCAATTTGCCAGTCTGTGTCTTTTGATTGGGGTATTTAGTCCATTGACATTTAGGGATAGTATTGTTATGTGTGAATTTGATGCTGTCATTTTGATGCTACCTGGCTGTTTTGTTGGTTAGTTGATGCAGATTCTTGATTGTGTTGATGCTCTTTTACCATTTGGTGTGTTTTTGGAGTGGCCGCTACTGGTTGTTCCTTTATATGTGTAGAGCCTCTTTCAGGAGTTCTTGTAGAGCAGGTTTGGTGGTGATGAAATCTCCGAGTGCTTGCTTGTTCACAAAGGATTTTATTTTTCCTTCACTTATGAAGCTTAGTTTGGCTGGATAGGAGATTCTGGGTTGAAAGTTCTTTTCTTTAAGGATGTTGAATATTGGCCCCCAATCTCTTCTG